TCGTTGGAAAACCAATTCCATCCCGGACAATGTAATGCAAAAATTTATTATTATAAGAAGTATTTCCTTAAAAAATAATTCAATTCAGCTTCAGGCAAAAAAAAAAAGATAAAAAAAAGCCTACATGGAAAGTAAAACTGTCATGTTGATAAATTCGGTTCTAATGACGACCTTGATACTTTTATATGTGAAGATATAAATGGTACATTTACAGCGTGCGGTGGATATGCATATGTCACGTTTTGGAAACTGAAAAAATGCTGGTCTTTCAACAACAACCATATTACCGTTATTCTTACCATATATCGCAAATGCTACGATATCAAAAGAAACGTAGGAATTGTGTATTTTTTTTTCAACCTCAAGCTTTGTTTCAAACTTCGTTTGTTTTCGAGAGATATTTGCTGGTTTTGACTTTGACAAGAGCTATAATTATATACAGCGCGTTATCTAGCTCTGTCACATGCTCATCACACGCTTCTGTCGCATAACGGTCACGTACATTTAAATCTTTAACTCCCGTGATCTAATTGTTAATTCTCCCCTCCAGCGGCTACATGTTTTCTTTCAAAGTAGATACGGAAACTTGGTGTTAGTTAAAAGATAACGAGTTCTACCCGATAAAACTTTGAGTATTCTCATTGCCTGTTTGCTGGATAATGTATTGATATTAGAGGGATAAGTTACAAGTTATATCACTTGCAGGAGTTTAAAAATTTAGGAAATTGCATCGCGTGCAAACTATTGAGCCACGAGCCAAATAAGAAAAACCAATGAAACATTTCGTCATCTGACAACAATAAACCGAAAACTCGACTGTATTAAAGTTGATTGTTGTCAGCCGCAAGAAAAATAAGATTGCGATCTTTCACTGTAAATAACATGAGCGCTACAGCTCTAATCATTTGCAGAATGAAATTGATCCACGGAATCCCTCTATTCTCCAAACGATGTCATTTGTTAATTCTACATGCCTCAAAATATTGAGAATAACGTTTTGCTTTACAACAATTTCGATGAAAAAATGAAGGTAACATATTCACGAGTTTGAACCTCTAAGCTCGTCTAATGCCCGTCTAATGCCCTTTAAGAAACTTATTGCGCTTGTATTTTTGTTTGTTCGTGATCAAAATTGCTCTTCTCCTTTAAGAAACTTATTGCGCTTGTATTTTTGTTTGTTTGTTTTTTTATTCTTTGATGATTATTATTACTTGTTTATATGTTTCTCCATGGCGATTAATTAATTCTGTGATTTAAATTCAGCTCTTTTTCTTTACGTGCAAAACACTCGCAATCCGCAAAATCCCTTTTCTCCTCAGAGCAGGACATATTACTCTCTTCCAAAACTGAATCGACAAGGATGAATTCACACCGCGAGTTATATTGTACCAATGCAATTTCTCTTCAAGCGATCAACTCGATATATCCCTCGTTCAATATAATACACATTTGTTTTTGGTCATATTCCCATTAGCGTTACAGTTCTCTCAAAGTTTCATTTTCCGCTCTCACCGTGACAACTTCATAAATTTTTTTAAAATAATAACGGTAAGCTTTTTTCTTGTAAATAACTCAATTTAGCGCTAGATATTTTTGCAGTCAGAAGCGTAGAAATCACCAGAGGGAGATACAAATCTAAAGGATTCACATCAATAATATGTATTCTTTATGTATATTTTTTTTCCAATTTCTCGTCTTTCGATTATAATATGCTACATATAATTCTTCATTATCTTTCCTCACCTCCAGAATACTTGCAATAAATTTAACTCCAATAAATTTCTTCTCCAAGAGAAATACTTGACTTCTCGTTGTATCTAGAGAAAAGCATATTTAAATCGTTTCGCGCCTTGGAAAGAATTAAAGCGAAAACCATAAGTACTCTTCTTATAGAAATATCCGAGGAAGATATTCAAAATTTGTGAAATCTATGTAGTCCATGCATCTTTGTGAACAGAAACCCTCAGTGTTTCCTACAGGAATTTTATGCATAAATCGTTACTGAACCAATCTATAGTTATATGTGAGAACTTCTGATCGTAAAATCCGATGGTCTAAGATTCGATCCTGCGTTCGTGACGAGTAAATAAGATCGATATTCTTTCATTCTTTTGTCTCATGTTTCAAATTATTTCTATTGGTATCTTTAGTCAATACCCGTTTATCTCATTCACTGCATTAGGTCGCTATTAACTTATTCTGTCCTCACCTTAACTCCTGTGAAAATGTGACTTGCCCTACAAGTGTGTAACAAAACGGTGCACTTTAGTAACACCAGCAGTATTGGAGAAGCTGAATATAAGCTCATCGAGCTCGAAACAGAAAATCGTGTATCATTGTTTATTTCGTGATCCATGACGGATTCTATTTTGCAGCTATGCTGTTTCACTATTTATACGCCAAGTTGAGACTGGGCCTCATACAAGATCTTTTAGGTTTTCATTTTCTTTAATCCCGAGTATAGCACAATGACATAAACATCCTACTTTTTAATTTCTTTTTTTTTTCTGATTTGATAGTCGTTAAACCACTGCCTGCTTAGGTTGTAGGGCGCTGGGCTGCCTTGCGGGAGGTCGAGGGTTCAAGCCCTACAGAACAGAATTCTGCTCCAATATCAGTATTTACTGAAGAAATCGTAGTCATCGTTGTTCTGGGGTTAAAATTTTCACTTTTGTTGACACGTTTACCCAATTTCTCTGCTATTTCTACGTTGTGGTGGGACCCGCGAGCGAGCAAGAAAACCTGTGCTCTAATCGGCGTTGATTCCCCAAAAAAGGAAAAAAAAAAGAAATGCTTGTAGCCTGTTGAATACCTCGAATAATGTCGTAACTAAAAAGTTTATTCTTGTTATATGAAGTCAGAGGACGTCAATGATCTGACGCGCTTCAAGCGGAAGCGAAACTCAACCGACATTACAGTACATGTAACGCCTACAGCTAGGACTAAACACAGCATGTTATTCCTTCGATTATTTGTTTGAGAATACAGGCCTACCTAAGTTTGAGGGTAATTGCCAATATGTGGAAAGATTAAAAGGTACGGCTCCTTGTAGATTAGCTAATGGCTATCTTCTACCTGTTTGTATACAGCTATGAGTGCAAATATCACTCTCTCTGTTCGCTAATAGGAGTCAATTAACACCATCTCTGACACGCCGGAAATAGAACTGAAACGAATCTTGGTAACGCCTACGGGACGAAAAAACAGTAAGCCGTACGGGATATAATATTTTTCCAGGTCTTTAGGATTCTGTTCGGTTTCTATCGCAATCATACCGCACAATTTATGGCCTTCACTTTTTTGTATGACAAGGTCAATTTTCAATGAATTAGGTCCTGGTTGTTCGAAGAATGGATAACGCCATCCACTGGATAAATCACTATGCGTGGGATGTTACGTACGTTTTGTTGACCTTGAACTGCTGGATAGCGGTTTAAACGTTATTTTGTGTTATCCGGCCGCCCTTGAAGGCAGATTAAACAAGCCTTCGAACTTACGCCAGTCGCTGAATCGGTAATATTACAAGAAATAGCAATATCAGTGATGATAATAACAGTAAAAATAGTAATGACAATAACTTTGCTCGGGCCTCCAATCGAATCTAACACACTCATTGCTCTTAGTTACAATATGTATAATTATGCCAATTTTATCATGCATTATAACCGGGTTATAAGGAAAATTCCCACTTTAATATATCGCTAGCGAAAAGGGAATAACCCTGGTTGATATGGAAAAAAATTTAAATTTTCTAACAACTGTTACGCCGAACAAATTATCATTTTCCGGCGAAAATGCAGTGTGGTCCTAGGTACATTCAGAAATCCAAAATCGGCGGTAAAAAGTTTTGTGTCGTAAAGAGTACAGACATTTTACCTGTTTATCGTCACATCATCGATAATATTACAAGAAATAGCAATATCAATGATGATAATAACAGTAAAAATAGCAATGACAATAACTTTGTTGACACAAGTGAGTCAACTCACTTTACAGTGATTTTAGCAAAAAGTACATTTGCTCTGCCACTTGGTGCTTAGAAATGTGATTTGTATCCTTAGCTGTATTTTTCTTGCAAGAACTGTATTTTGTTGTCTTTATATCTCAACTGCGCTCATGCATAACCTAGTCTCTGTACACTTGTGTCGGAAAGTTGTTATCTAAAAGCAAAGCTTGGTTTGTGTAAAAGGATCTCACCTGGGATGCACAAGAGTATGATTATTGCTGTGTGTCGTGGGTTGGAGGGCGTGGGTCAAGGATCGTGTATATTGTTTCGAAGAACAGCTATACATCATGCACTTACATGACTTGTTTCTGGAAATTTCTAGAAAGCTTAGTCCTGCAAGATGCATACTGGGGTAATATGATGTAAGCCCATGGAACTTTCTTGCTATTACATTCTACCAAGTATTGCAGTTAGTATGAAATGCCAAAGGAATAGTTATTTTCTAGGCTTCCGAAGCGCTCTCTCTAACCATTAGTATCCCGCTGTTTATTTTCTTGCTCAAGTTTTTTAAGGATGGAAGAAAAAATGATGGAAGATAGAGAGCCGTAAAGGGTTCCCCGTTATAACGACCGCATGCTTTTGATTTAATATTAAGAAATGAAAGGAGCAAGGGCCTAGTACCTTTGAAATGAGCTGTCTGAACGGTTGATTATCTTGTAGATTATCTTGTAGAGCTTTATGCGCATTTTTTACCTATATATCTGTTTAGTTTTTTGTTTGTTTGTTTGTTTGTTTGTTTATTTCATTTATTTTTCATTCCCTTAAAATATTCGACATTAAATAATTTGTTTGTTTGAGTATTTGCTACCGTTGTTTCATCTTTCCTCAACAAAAACTCTTTGCACACAATGGTAGCAAACATGGCGAGCCCACTGAGAAAAGCATAATTCTTTGTAAATAACATGAATACCATTTTGATATTCTTTCCCTATTCCTGGATAAACTGAGGATATCTATTGAACAAACTAAAGATCAAGCAAAACAAAATACCGTCTCTCTGACAAACGAAAATGCATTTATTTTCTATTCACGATCAACAACAAAAGAATTTACAGTCACCTTCAAACAATGTAAAACTCGTCGAAAAAATTGTCAACAAACTCGACCAGAGCAACAGCTATTGAAACTTGCGTCATACCCACGAGTTCCGCAGCAGGCCGGTCGAAAACCCGATCTGGAGACTATATTGCCACCGCAGCACATATCAAACTTTGCGTCGTACCCTTGCGTTCTGCAGCAGGCTGGCCGTAAACCCGATCTGGAGACGATTTTACCACCACAGCACATATCAAACTTTGCGTCGTACCCTTGCGTTCCGCAGCAGGCTGGCCGTAAACCCCGTCTGGAGACGATGTTACCACCACAGCACATATCAAACTTTGCGTCGTACTCTTGCGTTCCGCAGCACGCTGGCTGTAAACCCCGTCTGGAGACGATGTTACCACCACAGCACATATCAAACTTTGCGTCGTACCCTTGCGTTCTGCAGCAGGCTGGCCGTAAACCCGATCTGGAGACGATTTTACCATCACAGCACATATCAAAATTTGCGTTGTACCTTCGTTGACCACAAGGCCGGTATGACCTGCGACGTGCACGAATCTTTGATGTGTTACCACCTAAGAAAATCAATAACGAAGATTTTCCATAAATTACTCTCAGGCAAACTGCACAAAACGTTCTCATGCCATTAATTCGTCCTTAATTTTCCCAAGGAAAGAAAACAAGAGATAACGAGGGAATATTCATGTTCCATTTGATTGGGATTTTACGTAATTCTTATTCCCTGCGTCAACGAACTAGAAAAAAACATGCAGTTAAAACTTAAAATAAGTATGAGAAAACAAACCAATATCATGCAGATTTAGACCTTTAAAATCATGAATTAAGTAGACACTAGAAAAGAATCTTTCGGTGAACCTAGAAAAGGGTAGGGGCAACAGATGGGTACCAACCCTCCCCACCCCCGCTATAACCGATGATTGTCAGGGGTGGCCAAAATAGATAGCAACGGACTGCACGTGGCGCAGTTAAAACATCACGTTAAACTTTTCAAGATGAAGTAGATGATCTATGACAAAACTTCTAAAATTCACTTTAACTGAGCATTTGTAAAGCATTTAGGTCTAAATTTACCATTGAATTTGGCAATTATTACGATAATAGCCATTATTTTTAGCTGTAAAAGTGAGAGTGTTTCTATCAATGAAACTAAACGGATTTCACCTTGACTAGATTCGTTTTTCGTTTCATTTGCGTTTACTTCTTCATCTTTGATGACGGAAAATCTACTTTCTTCGTCATGTTCGGGTTTAAAGAGCCGTTGTTGAACTGTTCCTCCTCCAGATGGTTTCCCGTCTAATTCCTTCGACAAAGCACTGGCCATTAAGACGAAGAGTCCCACTACCTTGAGCATGTTGTTAGCGTTAGGACTTTGTTCCCCTCAGCTCTGTTATAGATATCAATTAACTATCGAGGCTCGTCTCTGCTTCCTTTTATGCCAGTTTGGAAAAAACATTTCTAGGAATACACATGACATCACGTGTTTACTTTAAACTTGTGCGAGCAGGCGCCTTTCTTCAACAAAGCCGAAAAAGGCAACTCACAAATCATATTAGAGGCTTGTTTATTCGACGCTAGGAGTCAGAGCACGTCAATGATATGACGCGCTTCAACCGGAAGCGAGACTCACTCGACATTACAGTACATGTAACGCCTACAGTTAGGACTAAACACAGCATTCCCTCGATTATTTGTTTGAGAATACGGCCTACCTAAGTTTGAGGGTAATTACCAATATGTGGAAGGATTAAAATGCACGGCTCCTTATGGATTAGCTATTGGCTATCTTCTACCTGTTTATGTACAGCTATGAGTGCAAATATCACTCTCTCTGTTCGCTAACAGAAGTCAATTAACACCATCTCTGACACGCGCTTAAACCGGAAATGAAATTGAAACGAATCTTGGTCACGCCTACGGGACGAAAAAACAGCATGGTTCATATTTTTGCAGTAAAGCCATATAAGTTTCTTTTTGAAATCGTACGGGAAATAATATTTTTGCAAGTCTTTAGGACTCTGTTCATTCGGTTTCTATCGCAATCATACCGCACAATTTATGGTCTTCACTTTTTTGTATGACAAGGTAAATTTTTAATGAATTAGGTCCCGGTTGTTCGAAAAGTGGATAACGCCATCCACTGGATAAATTGCGTGGGATGACAGGTACGTTTTGTTGACCCTGAACTGCTGGATAGCGGTTTAAACGTTATTTAGTGTTATCCGGCTGCCCTTTGAACAAGTGGGCGCAGATAAAACAAGCCTTCGAACCTACGCCAGTCGCTGAATCGGTTTGTCTGCTGAAAGGGGGCGCTGGTCAACACGTTTCAGTTCGTTTCCGGTTAAAGCACGTCTTAGTAATGGTTTTAGTTGACTCCTGATAGTAAGATGAGATCGTTTGTATTCCGAGAAATCTCATTTTCAGCCGTTACAAAAGACAGAAGAGGAAAACCTTTTTTGCTATTTTGCTGGTACCTTTACATTTTCATCTATCCTTTGAGAGGATAGATAGAGTCACATGAACGTAGGTTCTTCTTAAATAAATAAGTAATGTTAACAGTGATAGTAACGTGCTTTGTTTGGTCCTGCAGGCCTTTCATGCATGTTCTGCAACGTTTGGTTTTGTTTCCGGCCGAAGCGCGTTATCGATGACGTGCGCTGACTTCTAGGATCAAATGAACTACCTTGTGGTAATAGTTGCCTATTTCGGCTTCAATGAAAAAAGATGTCTACTTTCAAATGCTAGAGATAACAAATATCATCATTTGTTTTCTACGACTGAAATCCTTTATTTCTTTTCAAACTGGTATAAAAGGAAGCAGCAAGACGCCGTTATTGTTCAGTCAATTTATTTCTGCTACACCACCAGTAAAAATGCAAAGTTTTCTGAATCAAAACTCTATCGATATTTGTTCCCCGAAGGCTCAAAGTAACATTAACGAAACAAGTTATTAGTAATTTCCGGCGAGATTGCAGTGTGGTCTTAGGTATATTCAGAAATCCATATATACATATGCATACATATTAAAATCGGCGGCAAAAAGTTTTGTGTCACAAAGAGTACAGACACTTTACTTGCTTATCATCATGTCATCGATAATATTACATGAAATAATAATATCAATGGTGATAATAACAGTAAAAATAGAAATGGCAATAATGATAAAAATACAAATGATTTCTTTGCTCGGGCCTCCGATCGAATCTAACACACCTATTGCTCTTAGTTACAATGTGTATAATTATGCCAATTTTAACTTCATCAATTGAGCGACATGTTGTAATTCACGCAACGATTGAAAAGTCATCGATAATAAATGCATGTGCCGTGGCATGCGTATGACTTGAAAACAAAAGGGATTTGATGACTCCTCTAGCGATCGACTTCCTGTAGTTCCGTGAAAAGTCCGTTTGAAGGAATACACGCTCCCTCGTTGCTCGAGCATCCGTTCCGAATACAATACATCTGCGACGTTTCGTGGGGATCGAATGACGTGAAAGTCAAATAGTCTTAATGGCGGAAGTAAGCAGTGATGATGAAGACGATGAACACGTCTCTATACCTCAAGAAACGCTTGATTGTCACGGTCCTTTTGATATTACTTTGGTGGTCGAAGATGGCATCGAAATCAATGCTCATAAGCAAGTTCTTTCGAAAGCAAGTGAATTCTTTGACATACTGCTCAACGGTAAAATGAGGGAGAGTACGGAAAGAGTAATTCAATTAGAAATGCTTACTGAGGCTGACTTACGACACGTTTTAGAGTTTGTTTACAACGGAAATTTCCAGATATTGACCAAAGATCAAGCCCAGCATTTATACGCAGTGGCTGACTATTTGTTCGTTCAGGGATTACAAAAATTGTGTGAAGACTATTTAATAAGTAAGTTGAACATTTCAAATTGCATATCAACCTACTCTTTTGCGCAAATTTACAGCAGTGAGAAACTGATATCCTTCGCCATGCGATTCATCCTTTCAAATTTCACTGCTGTGGCAAAAGAGGAGGAGTTTTTGAACTTGTCGATCGAGGCAGTCAAAGTATGGATCTCAAGCGATGAAATTAACATTGACGCCGAGAAAGATGTTTACCACGTCATTGTTGCATGGGTTGCGCGTGATGTTAACGAGCGCATGGAATATTTTGCCGAGTTACTCTCTCTTGTCAGATTAGTCTATATATCACGTGACTATCTTGTCAATCACATTGCGACAAGTGACATTGTGCGAGAAAGTGAAAGTTGCTTTAGACTCGTGAGGAACATTATAAATTCAATTGATAGAGGGAATTCTGAAAACACCTTATTCGCACCACCTAGAAAGTCGCTTGAGACAACGGTTATAGTTTCTTGTATACAAAAAGGACCAGAGCAACTGCTATGTTACTATCCATGTAGAAAAAGGTGGTTTAAGTCACGTAATCCTTCACTCATATGTGACCAAGTAATTTCATCTCGTGGAAAACTTTACTTCATATCCAAGCACGAGCGCACACTGTTACGATATGATCCCTTCTTTGATCAATGGAAGACTTTGTCGGTAGAAGGAACACGAGAGTTGCTGCAATTTTTTGTCAGTGATGAAGGTGATATGTACTCATTGGAACTCGACATTGAAACATCTTGCTCAGATTGTGCTTCTCTGCCTCCTCCTAAGACAGACCGCCATCACCTCGAAGGGATGGTGAATGTCGTATCTTGTGGCAAGCAACATCTATCCTGTATCACCAAATACGACCATGAATCCAACCGCTGGAAGCAGATAACATCATTTGATTTGGGTTCAAGGAAAGGAATATGCTTCATAAGTAATGCTGATTACATATATCTTATCGGTGGTATCAATCGAGAAACAAACGAGATTCTGTCCGTCGTTAACAGGTATAACTTACGCACAAACAAGTGGGAAAAAGTAGCTGATATTCAAGAAGGGAGGGAACGAGCTTACGGAGTCGCTTCTCAAGGAAAAATTTTTATCACTGGTGGCTCCAAGGAAATCTGTGTTTCAACATCTTGTGAAATGTACAACGAAAACACCAACAAATGGCACTCCATAGCCAGCCGTCGCATGCCACGACGTCGTGGAAGCATGATCTGTGCCGATAATAAGTTGTATGTAGTAGATGGTTATGTTTGGAACGAGAGAGGATTCAGAGGAAAGATCGAATGTTATGATGCTGAAGAGGACGAGTGGAGCGAGGTGACCGAAATACCTGTGGAGCAAGGCATGTATACTTGGTACCTCGTGAATTCCTGTAAACTTAGACTTTTTAAAGGAACTAGTCTTCGATGGAAACCCGTCACTGTGTAAAGTCCTTCAAAGCCTAAGCAAATTATCAAGACAGACGAAGAGCTTTTCTAAATAAAATGGCTTCAGGTGTTCTCTGAGGCACAAAGGAAAAAGACAAAACGGACCGAATAACGTTGTTATGATGAATGGAATTATCAAAAGTCCTCTGATCGCCTTTTCTGGGCATTTGATGTTTAGACGCTTATCGCTCCAAACACACAATGTGACTTCTCTAACTGCCTGCTCAATAAACGACGTATATGTTACCAGGTCTTGAGCAGTGTTTAGAGGAACTGGTACTGACACATTTTCCGCAACTTGTAAGTTCGCTTGCAAATGGCACGCACGTGTATCGCGCGTAAAAGATGCCAGTATTCTGGTTGAGTATTATTTTGAAGAATTTTTCCCCTTACAGTTTCGGTGATGTCTAGTCCGCTTGTTTTTTGAAAAGTTCTTTTGAAGCGGCTTACCAAAATAAAAACTTAAATTAGTTACAAGCATCTCTCAATCCACGTATACTATCTAGAGCATGATTTCTTATAATTTAAATGATCCATTTTTTTTATTTGGCTTGGGTAAACAGTGCGATACTTCTAAAACGTGCTTGACACGTCTAGAACGAGCCTTAAACGAGCCAAGTCGGCCGTCACTGTAGGTTGGACCGAACAATAAATCTGTTTTCTTCTACATTTAAGATTGCCATTGTTTCTTATTTTCTATTCGTTTCGGAAAGTGTATAACTTAAAGCATTAATATATACTGATCAATCAATAGAGTTGAAAGCGCGCGCTCTGGTTGAACACTCAACCTCCGAATATCCATTGCTAATCACCTCCGAGAAACACCGAAAATATTGTAATCGTTGCAGGATTAAATGAGTTGAAGTCATCTATTTTCTTATTACCTCACCGTTTTGGTAAATATTAAATCACCAATTCAGAGAAACTATATCCATATGTAGCTAAACAAATTGCAGTTAAGATGATCATAAATTTACAAAAATACTCCTGCATCATCTTACTTCTTGTATCCTCTTGTTCAGTCTGATTGAATTTTTGACAATGGGTGAACATCCCTATCTGTCTTTTTTTCATTGCAACCACATACCACGAATGATTTGTGGAAAATGGTTTTCCACAAGATATGTTCAAGTCAGTCTCGAAGATACCAATATAAGCTGTAGCAGTTACTACCTGTTACCACTTTACAATTCAAACCACCTTTGCATATTTAATTTGTTTCCTTGATTTTGAGATTTTGAACCTTCAGGAATTTAAGACCTCTTCCATTTTCATACTCATTTCAAACTGTAGTGCGCGTTACTTTGTTAAACGTGGACAAATGGGACACTAAAGAATAGATGAAATACGAAAACACTTTTGTTTAATTATTCATCAGTTCAAACCTAGCTTGCTTTTGATAATTTCGTAGTATGCAGTCACAATATATTATTTGCATAACAGGTTGGTTTTCGACAACACAAACATGAGAACAAAATCCTATGTCACTTGACCGCATTTTTTTTACATGAAGCACTTTTCAGATTTAAAAAGGACCCTTAAAACTTAATTTGGATCGAAATGGCAACTCCGTTACAAACTGGTAGTTGTTTCAGCAGAGGAACAGACCTCCAAAATCCTCAAAAGCAGTTTCGTCGTCCATGTGATGTTACTGTAGTGGTTAAGGATGGCAAAGAATTTGATACGCATGGACATGTTCTCTCAGAGGCAAGTCCTTTCTTCGAGAAGCTTCTCGGCAGCGAAATGAGAGAACGCAAGGAGCGAAAAATTCGACTAGAAATGTTGACAGAGCAAATTTGGGGTAAAATACTGAGTTTTATTTACTCCGGCACTGTTCAGATACATAATGAACAGGATGCTCGGGACCTCATCTCAATGGCTGATTACTTTCTAATCAAGCAGTTAAAAAATATCGCCGGGGAGTTCTTGGCTCAGAATCTGGAAACGTCAAATTGTATTTCGACTTATCATTTTGCAGAGAAATATCGATGCGAAGAACTTCTTGTCGACACAAAGAGATTCATTCTTCGAAATTTTAGCACTATCGCAACCACGGAAGACTTCTCTAACATGTCGAGCAAAGAAGTGGAAATGTGGATTTCAAGTGACGAGACGAATATACAAGCCGAAGAGGACGTTTTTAAAGTCATTCTAAGATGGATTATGCGAAACAGAAAAGAGCGAAAACAGTATTTTTATGAGTTATTTCGTCACGTCAGACTCGCTTACGTATCAGTTACCTACCTCCGGAAAGTCATTGCGACAAGTAATCTCGTAAGAGACAACAGAAAATGTTTGCGACTCGTTAAAGATGCTATCAAGAAATCAAAGAAATCACATAGACCCTCAGAATGGCCTAGAAAGTCACTAGAAACTCCTCTTATAACAGTCTGCGTAGATAAAAGAATCTTCAGCTATTTCCCGAGACAGGATAAATGGTCTAGATTAGGAGAAAGCAAACCACCATGTTCCATCATATTCTCTTCCCGTGGCCAGCTCTATTTTGTTAATCAAGTATACCATAAGCTACTGCGGTACGATTCGTTCTCTCACCGTTGGACAACGCTGCCGTACAACGAAAAGAAAAGTATGCGGCAAGTTTATATTAGCAGTAAGGATGAAATTTTCGCCTTGATGATCGATGACAGAATATCGTGTCTCGGTTGCATTTCTCTGCGTTCATCTCGCGCATTAGAGAGCACCGAACACGAAGAGATTCAACACCCTCCGCGTTGCGGAAAGAGTCATCTTTCTTCTGTAATGAGGTACAGACCCGAAACAAACCTATGGCAAGAGACATCTTCATTTGATTTGGGTTCGAGAGATGGAATTTGCTTCGTTGCCAGTGAAAAGTTTGTTTACCTTATAGGCGGTTACATTCGAGGAGCTAACAAGATTCTGACTGATGTGGACAGATTCGATTTCGCCAGGAACTCGTGGAGTAAGGCAGCTGACATGTTGGAGCCAAGACACTGCCCTTATGGGGCTGCTCTGCACGGGAAAGTTTACATCACCGACAATGGCAGCTACGACTTGGAGAACTTTACGTTCAAAAGGACGTGTGAGGTCTACAGCGAGGCAACGGATGAATGGCATTTCGTTGCAAACATGAGAATACCACGGTCCCGGCATGGCAGTATGCTGTGCGTTGATGAGAAGATTTGTGTCTTGGACGATTATTTTAAGAGCATGAGTTACCTGGGAATTAAAATTCACTGCTACGACCCTGACAAAGATGAATGGCAAGAGCAAACAGATCATAAAATACCAGTAAAGAGAGGTTACTCAGTTGGACCCACAACTCATTATTCCCTTCACACTTGCGCTACGAGTATTTTTCAGCCGGGACAACGCCTTGCAAGCGAATCTTCCACGACCACTTTTGACAAATGCAAGTGTCTGATTATGTAGACCGATGCAAGCTTAAGTTACCATAAACGTATCCTCCATAAAGAGAAGACCACTAAACAAGTTTCATTCGGATAGAGGTATTCTGCCTGGGGTGGAGGAATTGTGCATATATTTAAAATAGTCTGGAAGCTCCTCCTTTCTCGAACCTTCCCACAATTTTGTCAAATTCTCCATTTTCGCAGTTGTGTGCATATCTCGTTCTAAGAAGCGAACCTTGCTCACAAAGACAAACCCTGAGCCTCTATTTAATCTCTCCTCTCAAAAGAACTGATCGTGTGAGATGTATGTGTCTAAAAAAGTAATACCTCAGTTCAATAGCGTTTACCTTTGGAATAATCTCTACATGGGAGAATCATTTTAATTCTCTCCCATGACGAGTTAAGACCTCTCCTGTAGTTAGTTAATGCGCCGACATGAAGAAAAAAGGAAAGTACGATTGTTTTTATCCGTAGAGATCATAAAACAAAATTACTGGTGGAGGTGCAGAAAGCAATTTGAACGACAGAAAACGAGAAACGTATGATTTCATGAAACACAATTTTTATGCTCTTTTACGTTGTACAAAAAATTATTGGCAACAATTCTCAAAGTTATAAAAAATTCAATATTGCAGTATGCATAACCATTTTTTGGACATACACAACTTCTGTCGGAAGGATAACTTTCAAGGGTTACCGCCAGTCAGTAACGATTCATCGGAGTAAATTTCACCCTAAAACTTTACAACAACATCGGGAAAAATGGAATTAAAAGTACTAAAAGTAATTCACGTTCGCCAAACAGAAAATGCTGGCTTGTTGTCATGTTCAACTTGACCTGGCTTGTTCGTTTCTGCCAAGATATCGCCATCAACGGGACCGCCTGTCAACAAAGAGATAACGTAAGACTTTCAAGATGAAGAAAGTTCAGACTCTCTTAGAGTTACGAAGCACACTCAGAACCTTTACAGGAAAACTGCATTAGACATTCCATTAAACTGACTGCAAGTTTCATCCCAACATAGGCTACAACCGTCATATAGTTACAATTAGAACATTGTCTTACCAAGAGGAAAATCAGAGCTTTGTTGATTCACATGTTTCTTCGCAAAGGGATTTGATTGCAATACATATGCTGACCCTGGTCGAGAAAACGCAGCCTAAAAAATGGAGAATATTTTTTGATCAATAGTCCGTACAAGCAAAAGGTAAAGGAATCGGCTCGAAAAAATAAATATAAAACTGGGTCATGAGGGGTTATACAAACATGAACTTAGTTTTGAAACAGAATAAGAAATATGGCAAGTTTTGAGAAAAAACTTACGCAAAACTTAACAACTTTCTTATTCGATTCAGGGCGTGAAATTAACTTTTTTTTCTGATAGCCACTTGGCTCCTAAATTCTTCAAAGTGGTAGCCAATTCAAAAAAAGTTGGTCGCCATTTTCAAAGACAAACAAAATCTTTCTTTACGCTGTCAGCGTTCTAGATAGACCCTCCAAAATTAAGTTAGGGAAAAGATCTTTAACGTGCTACAAAGTGGACACTAGGATGGATGATATACAACGTTCAGGCTCATCTAAATCCAAGATGGCGTCTAGTAATCGATCGAGATGCATGTGCTACGTTTTGGAAACAAACTTAATGAGGAAGTTTGCCGCGGATTTATCTTTGCAAATTTATTTAATTCACTATATCTCTTAGTAAGGTTATGATGAAACGTTGTAGTCGCCAATTTGGCGACTAATTTTCAGGATTTGGTCGCCAAAGTGAAAAATTTAGTCGCATTGGCGCCTGTATTAGGCGCAATTTCACGCCCTGACTATTTCCAAAACATGACACTAACGAGCTCAAAACTTACCATCTTTCTTATTCTATTTACAAAACATGACACTAACGACATTGCTGATCCTAGCAGTATGCAAGACGCGTGTCATATTTAAACTTCGAAATGGGCCTTGATCACCATAGAGTCTCTGTGGCTCAGTGGTAGAGCATCAGAGCGCGGATTACGAAGGTCTGAGGTTCGATTCCTCATGAGGCCTCAGAAGTTCTTCTTTGTCCCACGCTCGTGAAAAGACGAAAAAACATCTTTCTCTATGGACTTAGTATTCAACAAGCTTTTACAAACTTGTATATTTCCGTAGTGACATTCACATTACAGAGAGCCCCAGTATTGTTCACAGCCAAGACTGTCACTGTTATTTTGTTCACGTACCTAAACTGTATTTACGATAATTATATTCAATCACGCGCCAACGACGTTACTCAATTGTGTTTAGGTAAGGTTTTCCAGTTTTCGTTTGGCCATTTTCATGCACAGAGAGCCCAACAGCAAATGACAGCTGAAAAGGGGACTAACCCTTTAACTCCCAAGATCTGATTATTAATTCTCCCATCGAGTTAACAAACATTTCCTTGTAAATTTGTTACGAGAATTTGGTGTTAGATCGAGATAACAACCTCTATCTGATAAGTTTGAGTATTCTCGTCACCTGTTTGCTGGAAATTGTATGGATATTTAAAGGAGAAGTTACATATTAATCACTTCTGAGAGTCAAAGGGCTAAAGGCTCCTTTAAAACTGAGCCAAAATTTCTGATGAGACGATTGGTTTCTCTAAGCCAATTCAGTGCCTCATTTTCAATTCACAATGACAAAAACTGTTATTATCTACAGCAAACAAGACAAATCATGTGTTTATTTCACTTCACCATTCTTGGTTTTGGGCCTGATCCAGGCCTTCCTGATGAACCTCCTCTGGAACTTTCCTCTAACTAAATAAAAAAAAAGTGATTGTGATTGTGTAAGATAACCTTGTCCCACACATACCAAGTTTGTGAGTTACCATATTTCACTGTTCAGTGACCAAGCTCAAATTTACAACAATTCTTACTGTACTTTCAGACAAGAAGCTCTTTTTCATTCTATAATTCTGATTCTCTGTTTCCTCTGTGCCTGGCATGATTGTTTAACTAACAATTTCAAGCAGTATTATGACCTTAATGTGTGGGTATGAGCCACCATTCTGTTCAGGAATCCACCATAATTGAAAGAATAGAGCAAACACATAACATACAGTACAACTATCTCTTGAATTGATAAAGCATCATTTAAAACCAAATGCAAATAGAAGACCATCTCCTTTCGTGAATTCTGCCTCCCTCACCTTCTTTATGATTCCTTTCTCTATCAGTTCCTGTTTTGATGTTCGAGGGCAGTTGAGAGCTAAACATACGAAAAAGAGAATGAAGTTGCAATTTCCAATCTAGATAATATTTGACAAGTAAATATATTTTCATCATTTTGACATGGCCCCTAAAAGTCTTCTCAGTGCCTGGTAAGCTGGTAGTGAGGGTGGGGAGGGAGTGAATTGATGTACAGGTGCATGATGCTTGGGGGAGGGGAAGTAAGAACAAAAGGAAGATGAATATTGAATAGCAACAACTATGTTTTAAACAAAACAGTGTGTGTTCTTGAGAGTTTACTTAGTGTACTGTACCTGCAAAATGTGGCCAAACTTTATCTGAAGCTGAAGCAAAGTCTTTTGCACTCCTAAAATGAAGGAAAGAAAAATAAAACATGCCATTTCCTGTAGTTTTGAGTAAAATTGAATGCATAATAAACCAATTAATTTTAACAGGTTTAGATGTGTGAATTAGATGTGTGAAAAAAGGAAAGAAAAATAAAACATGCTATTTCCTGTAGTTTTGAGTAGAATTGAATGCACAATGAACTATTTAATTTTAACAGGTTTTGAAGTGTGAATCAGTTTCAAGTTCACAATTGGTCCAAGGCTCATAGTAACAAAGTGAAATGCTGCAGACATTTTAACAGCCCACTAATAGGCTGACTAGGTATTGATTAGAGAACCATGATTGTACCTTCCTTCACCATCTGGGAGTTCAGGTTGCGCATTCCTCTCCAAAAGTAGCATCACAATCTGAAATTTTTCATTGAAAATTAGACATTGGAACAATTGTTTTATGTACATGTGCCATCACAAAATATCAGTGAATGGCAAGGAGGATAGGTACATGTACATGTAGATAGGTACTCTTTCACCCTTTACACCCTAACATCAGTATGCATATTCTCCATACTGTTCTCTCTACAATTCCTAAGGAGCTGTCAAGGAGAATTTGTTTAACAATCAAGAGCTTCTACAGTTGGTGATCATTTCCTTTAATCTCATGACCTTGACATGTGATTCAAGGGGGTGATATTGTAAGGAGAAATTAGATGCTAGTCACTCTTGAGGGTTAAAGGGTTCACACTTGCCCTCAGTTTTACATAAGGTTTACAGCAGTTGCTTCATAGCTCTCTGCTAATTACAATGCTGCTTAAGTGACAAGTGTAGCACAAAACGTAAGGTAATGCATACCTTTCCATGCTCTTGGAATGTTGCAGCATGTAGTGGGGTCCATAACGTGTCCCTGTTCTGTGCATTAACATCTGAAACATCCATTTTAATTTAAGACTCCTCAGGCGATGATGATTAGCTACAGATACATAAATTTTGTTATTTTTCTTGGTAATTCAGTACTTACCAGCTCCTTTATCGAGGAGAGTTTTCACTACATCATAAAAGCCCCAAAAACATGCTGGAAACAAGAGAGTAATGTCAATAAAATTAATATAAAAAGAGAAGAGGGAAGGGAAAAGAGGATTTTTTGATGCAAAAAAGAGAGTTTTTATTTAATCTTATAATTACAAACTATAAGTTGAAGCACACTGTTGTTACAAGTTTTAAACATGGAGAACAACATTGAGACAGGAACATTTCAATACCACTTCATGATGTTTCAACTGACCTCAACACATGAGGAGGAGTTATTGTAAAAGAGGGAGGAACTGCAAGGTAGGATGAGAGGCTTGTGTTTTAAGAATTTTTACATGTATGTCAAATTTTATTTTTATTGCTTACATGTACACCTATCAGCCAACTACACTTTACTTAGTGGAAATGAAACAGAGTTAGGCAAGATACCCATAATTTAATTACATTCTATAAAAACTGTTAAGATTGTCCATATTAGTTAAAATAATTGCCCAGTTTAAGCCTGTATGAGTAAGTATAATCTAGGCCTTGCCACTTATCCAGGTTGACTTGGTAGCGAGTGTGTTTGCCTTTCACTGAAAACATCAGCCTGCACATGGATCTACACTGTACAGTGTATTCAGGATGCACCGTGCTGGTGTTACAACTGAGTTGAGTTTTTTATTGGCTTTATTTTGGGTTCTCAAACATTTCTCCAACCACACAAATCAACATTCCAAGCTCCAATTCTCAGCTTCAGCCCATTTGTGCAATTCTCCTTACAATCTGCATAAGATTCTTTGTCCATTCAGAGAATTTGGTATTGCATTAACTACATGCAATAATCACATAGTTGATGTTTTTCTTTATTATCATCACTTGTCTGCCTGATATTAAGGAGAAATTCTGTATTGATCACTTGTGGGAGTTAGTGGGCTAATGAAATTTTTGGGCCTTGGCAGTAAATATAAACAAATTCATTACTCACGGATGTTAAGATGTATAGAACAATGAACAATAAAATTTACTGATCAAGTAATCAATTTTATTAGAAAACTAATTATCACTATCTATTTGTCATCCAATCCTTTGTGGGACAGCGCTTACTAAAGAGGATGGCAGTGCGCAAGAATTCGGAAATACATGTAGGCTAGCCACAAAAATGCATATTTACCAATATACAGCTGACTTTGAAGTTTTTCATTCGCTCCTCCACCGATTTGAACATCTTCAGTCATAAACTGTTCGACAAGCTTTTACAAAAGTACAAGGATAAAAAAAATAGATCTAAGTCAATTCATAAGAAAATTCTGCACTACAAAGATCAAAATAACACACAGATATAAGCTGTTTCACCAACGAAAATAAAACTATGAGCGCCTCATCCTTACTTTTTCATCTCCCTTTTGTGCTAGAGTAGAAAGGTCAGGCGTACGTGTGTTCACTCCTGTCAGATGTCTTTGCAAATCATAATCAACTTCTTCTAACGACTTTCCATTTCCATCCGAAACTGCCGCCATATTCGTCTTTGGGTATAAAACAGTAGGAATTTTATAAACAGAATAATGGTCCGCTGTACACTGTTGCGAGGGCGCATTGGAACAAGATGGCGGCGAAATACCTCTACATGATACTGAATAAGTTTTAGCTTGATATTTTAGCTTGTGCTTAGATGAAGATAATTATACGATGGTGAGGACTTTTAACGGCCAACCATTAGGGCAATTCGCCAGGAATTTAGCTTTGGCGGGTAAGGAGAAAACTGCTTTAGCCTGGATTTTACAAAATCTCAACCTTTCTCTGAGATCACGGCATCCTCATTTTCGCGATCAGTTTTGATTACAGTTTCATCCTTCTTCACCAGTTATCGCTGGAACTGGAGGAGGTCTTCTAGTCAACACGGCACGTCGTGACTCAGAACGAGCTAAAAGATTAGTGGGCTATGCTGCCCTGACTGGTAAGTCGTGATAAAATCTTAGCTACGCAGTTTAAGTTTGAAGGATTTCTTTTCGTAGTGGTTGTATTTTAAGCGGCTCAATTTGAGCTCATTTTGAAAAATAGTAATAGGTTATTTTAATCACACGTTATGACTCTTCCATCACAAGGGGAGATGTCTTGCTCTTTTAATCATTTTAGATTATAATCATTATTTTCATTATTGTCACAATCATTAGAATAATTCTTATTGTTATCATTATTATCATTTTATTATTACTATTATTATTATTATTATTATTATTATTATTATTATTATTTTCAATGCTGTTAGACCTTTATTTTAAACACAAAGGGAATTGAACCTTTACTGCTTGTGGTGTTATTTAATAGATGGCAAATGCTTAACCCTTTAACTCCCAAGATCTCATTAGCAATTCTCCTTACTTTCTGCAATACGGTTCTTGTGATGTTAGTTTGGAGAATTTGGTTTTGGATCAACTTGTAATTCCCTAATTGAAATTTGTTCTTTATTCTCATCACTTGTCTGCTTGATATTGTATTAATATTGTAGGGAGAAATTCTGTCTTGGTCACTTGTGGGAGTTAAATGTCTAATTAAAACTACCTTGTAGAAATGATGCAATAATGAAACAAAGATTTAAGAAGTAAATTACAAGAAAATAAAATGAGTTGAAACTGACACTCGTCTTGTGAGAGATTCAGTATTTCAAAGGGAACATTGTCATATTTTAATGTATTTTGTTTAAATTGTAGAGATAAAAATCATGTGGTTTCTGAAACTTATTAATTACAGTACCTCTTTTTGTAGTGTCCTATGGAACCTTCGCTGTTTTACTCCCAAGATTCATTAGAAATTCTCCTTACTGTCTGTTATACGATTTATATGATGTTAGTTTGGAGAATTTGGTTTTGGATTGACTAGTTATCCCTTAATTTCTTTATTCTCATCACATTACCACTTATTATTGTAAAGAGAAATTCTGTCTTGGTCACTCATGAAAGTAAGAGGGTCAAGTGAGTACAGTATCCTTTCGGCAGCTTGTTGAGAAAGATAACAATGATCTCTGCTGCTTTACAGTATGAATTGTTTTCTCTTGACATACAGTGTATTTCTTTTTGTGAGGTATGACTGGTGCAAGTATTGGTTATATATTTGGGGTCGTCAAGAAGCAGCCACCAATCCTTTGTGCTCTTTCCTCTGGCTCTAGCGTCTTTGTTATTTCTGGTGCATTTTATGGTGAGTCAATATTTGATGTAATATGAATTTTAATGTGATACCAACATTTATGGTAAAGGAAGATAAAAAAAAATTTCTAAATATGATAAAATTGATACATCAATTCCCAGCAGCTCTGTGCATAGTAACTGGAAGCTGCTACCCACATCTATGAAACTCACCTTTTTGCAAACTGTTATCATACTGTTGAGCATTGTTCATATCCCACTTGGTCAGTATGTAAACACAAGAGCCAAAAAGTGATATTACTCTTCTGGAGAGTTGCATATGTCAGGGGTATACATTAGTAGGGAAAAAGACAAAAGGGCAGTTGTATCATGAGCTATTTTCAGTCTTTCTCTTCTGGTCACTACAGATTTACGCGGACACTTTACATCCCTCAAGCTTCATTTTTAAACGTACTCTGTAAAAAAATCTTGGCAAGGCATAATCATGCTGGTTGACATTAAGTTTGATCAAATACCCCCAGTAAGCCTTTACAAGCTTTGTTGTAGAACTGTTGTAGATTGAGGTCTAAATCTTCTTTCCTCTCTCCTCTCTTTTTCTTCATTTTTCTGTCATAATAGTTTTGCGGGAGAATCTTCTAGTGTCGTCAAAGGCTTATAAATGGAGAAGAATGCTGGATGAACTTCAGGGGAAACCCAACATGACAACAAGAAAAGAAGCAATGACTGGTACTCAAGCCAGTGCCATTAGTGGTGGAATCAGTGGTTTATTGCTTTCTTTTACCTTAGGTACTTTTACATGCATTATTCACTCTTCTAAAAAAAGGAGTAATTTTGGAATGACCTACGTTATCTTGGTTTCAGCTGAATAACTAACTAAAAACACATGTACAGATCCTCAAATCTTCTGAACGTTCAGAGTATGGTTGTATTGCTATTACTGCTGAATGTGATACTTCTCAGCCCATTGCAAGATACACCTAACATGTTTTCAGCTCTCTGGTACCCATTTTATCCCTGAGTGGAGAGAGGCACTCAGAGTCTTTGTGAAATCCCAAGAGGGTGACAATGGCTGAGGTTCATCACTTGTGATATTAAAGTAATTATATCACAAGGAGAATTTAAAGGTTGATCAATTCAAGTCTTCAAGGTTTTATTTTTAATCTGTCTTCATAATTGTGTTTCACCCAACAGGAAGAGGCTTTAGTGTGGCAATCAGTACAGCTTTACAAGGTTTAGTGTTGGGAGTAGTTGGTAAGCATGTAGTACCACATAACCAGCTTTGACATGCTACTCCAAGTGTATTGTTTACAGCCATTTTAAATTGTGTCAGTCAACAAATAAATCACTGACATGGTTTTTTAATCTCTTGGTAAATCACATGAGAAACTGGTACAAACATCTTTTAGTTTAAAGCTAAATTTAATCCCTTCATTTTGATTTAGGGTGTAATTGTGAAATTTAATGAGGATCTAAAGAGTAAGCCAGGGAAATTTTTTTCATGGACTTACCCAATAGAGTTCACAACTAAACTTCTGCTTTGGTTTTATTGTCAACATGATCTCCAAAATAGTCTGCACTTAGTAGACATGTGAGAATTTTTATTTGGCTTGTGTTCTAAGATGATCCAACTTTGTTTGGTGTTAGGGCAATGGTCAGTTTACAAGTGCCAGCAATGGATTTTAGAGGAAAGAATCAAATATCATTATCCTGAACTGGTGGCTAATGCTAAAGCTTGTGAAATAGTAAGTTTCTTGTTTATGTATAATTTATTTGCTGTATGTCCATGTATCAGCCACACACAGATGTAAATGTAAAGTCGTATTCAAGCCCTCTGGCCCACCCAACCACGGCTCATCCTGGTCTCCAAGGAGCATGAAGTAACTCTGTCTCTGTATTTGTACAAGATTACAATGTTAGCCTGAGGGCAAGTGTAATTTTTTGGTATTTCCTAGGCAAGTAGGGGCAAACTTGAGAAGAGCAAAAGGGCTAAGATAAGACAGTGCTTCTCCCTATCAAGTGTGTCCTGTCATCCATTAAGCTCTCCTTGCACTCGCTGCTGCTTCTCTGAAAATGCAAACTAATAATAGTCACATCTGTCTCACAGGCTATCGCACACCTTTGCGCCCTAACATCAGTGTGCAAATTCTTCATGACGAGGAGAATTTGTTTACCAAGCAAGAGCTTCCTTAGTTGGTGATCATTTGATCTATTCTCATAACATTGTAGTCACTCTTAGGGGTGAAAGGATTGATAGACAAGAGAAAAACTTTATTATTTACTTATTTTTATATTTTTTATTACTTGATTTTTTTCTTTTCTGCCCCAAATTGCTCTCTCATTTCCTTTTTCGTTTATATGTAGGGTTGGTACGACTGGGCGTATCAAAAACTGACCACTAGGACTCACAGCTCACTGGTGGATGAAAAAATTCATAGCCTCACAATTCAACTGCAACTTCTCCAGGAAGAGGAAGAGAGACTGCTGCAGTTGAAGCAAGAGTAGGAAAATGAAAGTAAAACGTGATTGGAGTTTAAAGTATCAAATGGGAAGACTAAACGCCAGTATGAGAAACAATAACTACAGAAACATTCGAACAGAGCAATGACAGCCGTTGTTTACTCTTGTCACGCAATACGTTTCTTTTGTTGGGAGAAAGTATGTTGCGTGACTAACCAAACAATGGTTGCGCGAGAGACTAGCGAGCATGCAGATATTTTTCTCTTTCACTGTGTCTAAAAGCAACATCACAAAAAGTCCTTTCAATTCTTGACTGTTTTTCGTGGCTGGGAAGAAATTGATTTCCCCCATTCTCATTTGTGCCGCGACACAAGTAGTGAAGCCCGCGAGTTTCGAGTTGGCGGGCAAAGTGAGCGTGCGAAAGGCTTTCGACAAATGACTTCGGGGAGTCTTCGCCGCTCGTGATGCCGAATCTTCTCGCTAGCTAGATTTACCTTAACAGTTCGTTTATAGTCAAAGTTTTCCTGGACAGTGGACATAGTGTGAAGAATTGTATGCAGGCCTTTTTTCGAGATCCAGAATATTCGAAGTAGTAAATCTGAGAAATAACACTCGTCTTGTGGTTTAATTTTGCTTTATTATTTTTTTATGTTATTTTAATTGAGTTTGGGGTAAGAAATATCGCTGGTCAGGTTGATAATTTGCACATGGGAGGAGATCTGTCTGCTGCAGGAAATTTTGACCTTTTGAGATTGTTCGAAGATACTTTTTGATTAGTTTTAGTTTGGTTACAGTGTGGAGAAGGCAAGACACTTAGATACCATTGACTCACGCACATTACTAAGGGCAGTGAGGTGGCATTGTATGTCGTCAAAGTTTGATGCCATTAACAAGAGATGGAATGAGCGTGAACTTTAAAAAGTCGAACAGTTTCTGGAAGAATCGTGAGAGGGACAGATGATTCATTTTGTATTTGCAGTAATTTTGAGATCGAGGAGTTAACACCCCCTTCTCCCACAAGCCCCTTGGAACCTTTTAGAGTCCATGGCCCTTTTTCGGTTGTTGTCATTGAGGTACTTCTGTGTCAAAGCCCTGTGAGTGCGCTTCAAGTTTTTCTTAGTGTCGTGTCGCTTGGTCCTTTTTTCCACTGAAGCGCGTACCCTCTCTTCACAGTAATCCTTGCAAGAGACACTCCTCGAGAAGCGGCTCTGAGGAGGCTCACGAATGATGGCGTTGGGACGAACCTGTTCCACGGCACTTTTCAGAGAGAGGAGCCTTTTGCTGCAGGACAGCAGCTGCAGGATCTGCGCCCATAGGAATATTGCGGCCCTGGGGATTTGGTGCCCCAATTTTGCGGAGAGCTGAGAGGTCTTTTCACAGAGATCGCTGAACATAGGTAACGCGGGTCTCATAAACCACTTGTCGTCGCCTTCATCGTCTTCGGAACGATCACTTTCTTGTATGACTGACTCGTGGTGATTCTCGACTGATTCTTGCATGACTGACTCGTGGTTTGATCGTTCTGGCTGCCACTCTATTGCAAGCAGAGGCTTAGGAGTGTGCGCATGCTCAGAATCAACTTGACTAACCGCAAGCAAATCAGAGGTGCTTATGACTGGGTTAAACTTACGTCTCTTTCTGATCGATAGTCTGTCGCACACATTACCCTGGGTTACAGTCGTGCGCAGTGGTACCTCGCACGAGTCGCTTCTTACTTTCGCCAGAAAGTCAAAGCTCCGTTCGCGTTTGATGTCCTGTAAGTCCCACAGCAATTTATTCATGGGCGATGGCTCGAATTTTACGATAGCTGTGCTCAGGTTCTCGATGAGCGCTTGTTTGGGCTGTAGTTTGACTGGTTCAAGCACCGGCTCAGGGTTTTCCATCTGCATTCCAAGCGTGTCTGGTGACTTAAGGCTGCAGAGAAATGATACTCCTTTCAAATTTTTAAAAGTAACGCTCATTATATAGGTAACTTCTTTGACTACTTTTGCAAGAAGTCTTGGAAACTGCCTCCTACTCAAAAGAAAAGATGTTTTCACATCGTTTCACGAGCGTGGCGGGACAGAAGAAAATCTGACCCACCCTCCCAAAAGTTTTAACACACTAGCAGATAGGTTATAGGTTTTCATCCAAAAGACATTGCCTTTGGATTAAGCATCAAATTTTCAAGTGGGTTGTGAATCTCGAGAGATATCAAACACGTGGCTGTTTAGCTGAATAATTAAATGTTTCACGTTCTCTCGCGGACATTTTTTGGACAATTTAAAACCAGCTGAACGCTCAAATGTCAAATCAGATGATGAATACTCAGCTGCGCGCATTGTATTGCACGTGCCTTTTTAACTATAGACCAGTGAATCGTACAGTTCCAACAAACTTTATCTGAAGCTTTTTTTGTTTAATTCAATAATCTTACTGAGAGTTATAACCGGTTTCGTTTTGGGCAAATGCATCGATAGCCGTGAACTGCCATATTTTTCATTATTGTTACCTTTTTGCATTCACACGTACAGCACGAATACTTTCCACTGTTCCCAAGGTCCGCGGCACGTTGGAAGACAAAATTTCTAACCAAGAATTAATCTTTTTAAATTTATAAGCGCTGCACTTTTCATCCAAGGGCTTGCTCCATTTTAAAGGTCGCATAATCTTGTAAGGTTCCATCATCTTTCTTGGAACTAGGCGAGACATCATTTTTCCATGAAAGTATTTCTGAGATTTCTCGACGTTTCCTTGATTGACCGGGCCACCCGGCGGCCGCATGCCACAATTTTTCTTTTGCGTGATAACTGAAGCCACATTTTGCTCATTTATAACGACGTAGTCTTTCAAAATCAGCACTTCCTCTTCAGTCAGTTCGACGTCGACAAGCAACCACTCTCCTTCCTCTGCCTCGGCAAAGAAGCATTTTTGTGGAGAATTTTCGGCGTTTTCGTCTTGTGCGTAAATCCATTTTCCCAGCAAACTTAGCATAACCAATGCCTGTTCAGTTAATATATCTTTCTATCCCGTGGGAAAACATTAATTCTGAAGCAAAGAATCACCTTGATTGAAGATAATTGTTAATTACTGTCCATGTCATAAAGTTCTAATTTGTAATAAAGTATTAATGACAATACGTCATAAATTACGCGCACGTTTCCCACTTACGGGCTAGGGACGACTGCACTAATGTCTCGTGGACCAATCAGTCTTCAGAATCGCCTCAAAAATAACGGGAAAACTTATTGCAGGGACCGGTCATACAATATGCGAGTGGGATAAAGGAAAAAACAAAGAGTGAGTCAAGGTAATTTCATTGTGGTCAGTGTGAAGTGCACACTACAATGAGATCGGTATCCATTCGGTCGTTCGGCTCCCACGGAAGTTTCGTACCTTGTCGATTGGTACCCAAATTCAGACGATTCGTACCCAGTTTGTGTCGGTTTATACCCGACCTGTTGGTAGATTCGTAGCTGTCTTGACATTTCAGTGACGATCAAAACAAGGAGACATCATGGGACCTGCATTGCGTACCCCTCCTTGAAGCGAATACTCTGTATTGAGTGGAAACGTTTCCGAGGCTGTTGCGACCTTTTCTGCATTTATGGAATTGATCAAAAAACCTTGAAAATACTCAGTTGGCATTAACGCCCTTGCGCGCGAAATTACTTTGTTTCATTTTAATTGTTCCTTTTTTAGGAGCGCGCTCATTGGTTATTTCAAATAATTTAAAATTTAATGGTGTAATATTTTTGTCGCGCGTACCAAAAAACAACTTAGTGAAAACAAGTTTATATTTTATTTTATCATATCGAACGAGAAACAGCGGTTGCGGTTGTCAGGGAAACGGCTGCGCAACCCGAGCTCTCCACCCTAACTCCCTTAACCGTTCAAACGCTCTTTTTTTGGCTCGTTTAAGGTGACTGAGAGTTTGGCACAAGCCAGAGTTCGGTAATTAGGACACCCTGAAGTTGAGCGGACACTAAAAAGAGTTCCATATATGCATCGCTTGAAAGACCTTTCTTAACTTTGAGTCCCATGTAATAGTTCTGTCTTCGATTGAGAGACATGAGACCAACTCTATCAATAACGAAGTGATAAACGTCTAAAATGGGATAGAACATTTGGCTGTAGATAAAGTCTTTGAAAGCCATAACACGTGGTTAAATTGTCTTTACTGGAAACTTCGAGAAGGCAGAATAACAAGCAGAGTATTAGTAATTCTTAGAAAAATAGGTAGCTCTTTTTAGTTTGCAAAACATCTCTCGACATGGTATGTACACTTTAAATTTTCGTTATCGAATCATAACCTAAGACTACGCTGTACAGATCCAAAGCTATTTGAATATCATCCGTCAAGAAATTACTGACTTCAGGTAAACGTGAACATGCTTTTATTTGCTGATGCCCTTTACTAACAATGATGCACTAAGCGTTGCTACAAATTGTGAAAACGGAAAACTGCTGGAAAGTAAAGTGATACGTCAATTGTCGAAGCCCAAGTTCTTCGCCAAACATAACTAGTTAAGATGCGCGCGTTCACCACGTGGATTACTTGGCTCGGTTTTGATTGGCTAATTTGGTTGCACTAAATTTCAGCGCTAAAAAGCTGTTTTTTTTATTCATTAATAGATTTTTCGGTAACCCTAAACACTTCTGATTTTTTTCAGTCTTAAATAGACCGATAGAAAAAACAAAAACAGAAAGAGTATATCCTATTCAAATTACATGTATTCTCGTATTCTGCCAAAACAAAATATGTCATTATGGCAAGATTTCAGAACCCCTACCTAAACATGATTACAATTCTTTGTTAAAAGAAACAATGGCGAAAACTAGTTATTAACTTTGAAATTTAAGGCTCCATTGGCAAAAAGCTGAAGGATTCTCAAAGTGTTGAAACGTAGGGGATCCCATTGGCAGCATGGTAAAAATGTATGTCGCAAACCATTGGAACATGAAATCAATGTAAGAAATTTGACATCAAGATAGTAAACGAAGTCAAACAAGCGGATTGTCTGAAAATTAATAAAGCTAGGTTAGTAGCGTTTTCCCACACTCGGGCCATTAATTTCCATCTGCCTTGGGAAGACAATAGATCTCTGTTTTTCTTCTTTTTTTCGCTGTTCGGCCTTTGTGCTTATTTTTGTTTAGGTTTCATGACACTTACTTTCGCTTCAGTGCGAAAGCCGATTTCCTGCGGTATAAAAACACCCAAAGTAATTGGAAATTGGTCGGGACAGTTTGAAGTGGAGAACTGTACTCCTTCGACATACTGTCCGTTTTAATATGCAAACGAATAAGTTTTTCCTTTTTTCTGTTATTGTTTTATATTATCTCACCCAGTATTCATCTTTTTTTTCTTCGTTATATTGAGTTGTCAATTTATGAAGTTTTTGCTTACACTTCTCTCTTCACGGTAGTTTTTATTAGCGATGCGGATTTAGCGCGTTAGGAGATAAGTAAAGGCAACCTCGATTCTCCATGCTTATTTCATTAAATCTGATTTTTGTTGTTCGAATTTTAAAGTTTCTCAGAAGGCAGGGTCCTCAAAAATTAACATGAAGAGTGATAACTGACCCAATGAAGACAATGATTAAAAAAGGAAAGCTTGGGACGTTCTTGGAGACAGTCAACAAAAATTTCATGATCCACTTGTCGATAGTAACCGATTTTTTGTTTCAGGGACGCCAACACTTTGTTTATCTTTTTTGATTATTTATTGGTCACATACAGTTTTGAAAATCAACACGACAAAGTTCTGCCAGAGGTCGTCATCGTCATGTTTTATTAACATGTCGTCTGGTTCATTTGGCCAACCAATGAGAAATATTGTTTGTACTGTCGCGGGGCAACACAAGTTATAAACAATATTCAACCTGTAACCGCTTGTTGCCTCGAAGCATAACACCATCACGTTTGGGGAGGAAAACGAAACCTTTGAGCAGTGATCGGAAAATTTAAGAATGAGCGACTGGTCGAGTGGTCTCTGTGGCTGTTTCGAAAATGTTGGAATCTGCATCAAGGCGTATTTCTGCCCATGCATCGTTGCAGGGCAAGTTGGTGAAGCTCTTGGAGAAGGCTGCTTTTACCACGGTTTCTGCTCCTTAATGGGGCCGATTGGAATATACTGCGGGGCGCAAAACCGTGGAAAACTCCGGGCGATGTATCAGATTCCGGTATGTTGGCCTTTTTTTGGACTTAATCAAGTGTGTGACCTAATGAAAAGTTCAGGGTACAGCATCATGTCAGAATCATGTGTTGACAATGAGCAGTGGTTTAATTTTTTTAATGAACTGCTGAAATAAGAAGAGATAGACCCTTTGAGAGGTCTATCGCGTACTACATGTACACGTGATTTCTCTGCAAGCATTGCCGTCTTTATGCTGGTAATTTATATGATCAGTTTGAAGAATTTACTCGATCTAAGTGCGCAAACTTAAGAACACAGCCTGGATAGTTTTCAGGGCATCGAACGATTTAACGAACTATTGTGAATTATATTCGTGCGAACTTTTTTTTAACAAGCTTTGGTTTTCATTTTATGGTGGAAAGCTTAAAATTAACAAAAACAAAATTTGAAAACATAGCGCATAGAGCGTGAAAGGATCGCTGGACACTTCAAAAGATGATTGCAATTCACTCGCGTGAATGTTCTTGAATCAATTATTAATTATCACTTTATGAAAACAAAGCTACGTCTAAAACGACTTTGAATATATCACGAAACACTAAGCCGTGGATTCAAGACATCTAAAATAATCGAGTTATCCTCAAAACCTCTAAAAATGGAAAAATTGTCAGACCATGTCTGGCAAAGCGAGTGGAGCATTGGCTAAAGAAAATATATTAGATTAGGGAAGGAAAGGATCAATCAGAAACGAGACAAATGCTAATGATATTTCTCTAATTATTTATGTTGGTAAGGGGCGCGCGTCAGTGTGGAGATTATAAAACAGTGGGGTAGATTACAGAAGTGACTGGGTAAATAACAGCTTAAATAGTGGAAGAAGACGAGAAAAGAGGAAATGGAAAACGGAAATAAGGTCTTAGGACAATTATATTTACAGTGTTGTACAGAAGATTATTCAAATTTATTACGGAGTTAGTATTCAATACCCCTCTGTGTGAGGTGAAGCTATATCCCCCCCCCCCCCCCTCCTATTGAAAATTAGTCATTCATGAAGTTTTTGTTGAGGCGATAAATTTAAATTTTCAATTTTGTCCCTCAATTTTGGCGCACAAAAGAGAAATACTCACCATAAAGATGTAAAATCTTGTAAGACAACGATAAAATGAGGAACGAGAGAAAGATCATTGTAGACTTGGTGTCAATCTCATTGTTAAAACATTTCAAAGTTTTATTTGCTTAAAAAGACATTTGTTATGTTTGTTCTAAATAAAAAAAAAACATGCATTTAGGAAATATGTACCAACAGCAACATCCTTGTTTTATTTCATCGCGTCTCTTGTTAACGTAAATAATTTTGCGTCATTCAAAATACGGCACTGAATCGTCGTCACCCAAGTTTGTGTTAAGATATTGCGTGAGGTTTCCGCGGTATTTTGGCAAACGGGAAGTTTGAACCGTTTCATTGTTAGAATATTTAATAAGTCTTGTCGGTGGTCGGCAATTAATTTAACAGTTATCTTCCAAATTAATGAACCCCAGACTAAAATTTCACTTAGGAACCCGGTACTCAAGCAAATTTGTTTTTATAACTTAAATCAGCAGGTGAAATTGAATGATGTTGAAAATGATAACCCACTTGCGATTAGTTCATTGACATTGTAAGGAGTATGCTTAATCATTCATGCTGAAAAAGCGAAAAAAAACCTTCGTTCAGAGGTATTTCTGTCAATGGAAATTGAGAATTCGTAAAGCAAATTTTATAGAATTTGTCAACTGAAATTTCAAAGAAAGATCTCAAAGGTATTTCGATCCTCCATTAAATGCAACTTTTATACATTTAGCAGAAGTAATGTATATCTTGCCGATTTTTAAAAATGTACCCATCTGTTTCATGCTAATTTCCTGATCTAATACCACTGCATTCTAAGGGACCAGTGACTATTTATTGCCTTGGCGGGGGGAGGGTGGGGGATTTCGGGGATCATGTGGTTTTAAGAGGAAACAGAGGGGGAATCAGTCGTCACCAACAGGGTATCAAGGGGGGTACTACAGAGAATTGACTGCCAATTAACTGCCAATGGAGGGGGGGGGACTTGCTAGCGCTCGTTAATTCGTGGGAAATACGTGACTTTGAAATTAAGTTGTTAATACTCTACTCACTAAGTGTATTTAAACTTGCTTGGATCTTATTCGTAGGGTACATTTGTTAACGACTGCCTGGTTCACTGGTGCTGCCCAGTGTGTTCATATGCTCAAGAAGCCAGGGTGAGTATCATTATAGTCACAAACAAATATAAAAAGAAGCGCTTTTCGATTGAATGTCGTAAAACCAAAACTAAACAACCACATGCAACGGACGATAGGAAGAAAGGAAAATAGCGTTAAGAGCAAATGAGATCGCGAGAGAACTTTAAGTAAAAACAACCCAGCTGCCTCAGGCGGGTTACCCGGCAGGTCCTGATTGGTTTTAGCCAGTTTCAAATAATGGTTGAGAGAGTGGCGAAAAATTTCCTATTTCACTCTTAGAGCGAAGTAAAGCCACACGTTTATAATGGAAGGTAGGAGGAAGGTAGGGTCACTAAAAAGTAAGGTTCATAAAGAAGAGTTCGTCTCGTAGCTTGATCCTCTGGTGATGTCGAATACCTTACAAAATGGAGGGAAAAAATGAACACTCTAAACTTAATTTCCTTTTAGTGACCGACAGACGCAGTAAGAAGGGGAGGATGGGTGGAGAGCCTATTTGTTCTTGCGCAAAAATTAATTTTTCTCTGTTATTCAAGGATGTTCGAGTTGCCTTAGTTTAACTCTTTTTCATTTACTTCATTAGGAAATTGCATCCCGTATGCCGGCTGGTGGCTCCATAGCAAGGTCCTAAAACCAAGGCTTCTGTTGGCTGTGTGTTAAAACTGTGTGTTATCTACTTCTATCAGTGTTTCAGGGGAACTTGATTCTCTATTATCTGGGTATTACAGAACTTTGTATGGTTCGCCGCGAGTGTTTTTGTTTTATAGTTATTAAATGATGATATAACACTGAGTTTATATTAGTCACAGGATGCAAGGCTGTTGTAGCGCCTAGTCTTTTCTTTAGGAATAGGCAGATTCGCCTTGTGGATTCGCCTAGGCATGTTCATACATATCAAGTACATAGTGTAACTGATAAGCTTCTGATTCATTACCTTGAAATGCCAGATCTGACTCAAATAGATCCTCTTCAAAAGAGGCGACCGAAATTGAATTTAACGATTTAAGATGAAGCTCTCTCGACGAATGACAATTTGAAAAAAATGTAACCTTAAGGCGTTGTCCAAGTCAGGATAGGGGGATATTTCAAGTAGGTCAAATTAAAAAAAAAATAAAAATAAAGGGAAAAAGGGCCTGGAAATTCATGACAACTACACTGTATGGACATCTTTTGACATTTTCCTTCCATGTCTCTTATCGTTTGAATTGGGATTAAAATTTCTTGGATAAAGTAAAAATTTATTTTGACAAATCTCCGTAATGTAATCCCATGGGGAATGGTTTTGTTCTTGTTTGTTTTTTTCATATCGTTTGAATTATAATTAAGATTTCTTGGATAAGGTAACAATTTGTTTTGACAAATCTCTTTAAAATAACTCCATAGGGAGTAGTTTTCTTTATGTTTGTTTTTTTCTTTTGTCTGTTTTTGTTTTCTTGTTGTTGTTTTTTTTTTTACTGACCTCGTAGTGCAGTTTTTATCATTGGTCTTTGTTTCCAGTCGCCATTTTGAGGAGGGTCTATTAACCCATTCACTCCCAAGATCTCATTAATAATTCTCCCTATTATCTACCATACAATCCTCAAAAAGTTGGTTCAGAGAATTTGGCATTGGATCAACTAAGAGTCCCCTGATTGATGTTTCTTTATTCTCGTCACTTGTCTTCTTGATATTGTATTGATATTGTGAGGAGAAATTCTGTCTTAATCACTAATGGGAGTTAAAGGGTTTACTCGTGTTCAGACTTTCACGGCTCACTTTCTTTTCACTTGATTTTTGTTGTAACCAGAATTTTCTGACCAGGAAGCCGTTACATTGCGACGGTTTCGACTTTTTTAAGGTCGCGTGAAACTACCCAAATAAACTAATCATTTCACTCGAGAGCATTGTCTGAGTTCTATGTCTAAATATTTTGGGATGGAAATCCTGCTTAGTTGTAAGTATGACAGATTGGAGAGTACAGTTTTTCTATGAAAAGTACTAGGTTGTATCCAATCGGTATCTAAAATCCCAAATCGGACAATAGTGTCTAAAACTGAACACAAGTATCTCGCATCGGACACTGGTGTCTATAATCAAACAAGATAGCCCAAAGCCGGACGCAAGTGTCTAAAATCGGACGCTAGTCGACGCATTTCCAAGAATGCAATCAAGGGCTCCTGCCTCGGTAATGAGGACGAAAAATAACCAGTCCTATCACGGTGTTGCGTTTTTAAATTTATCCCTCATGGAGTATATGGGCCTAAAATGGATTCAAAGAAGAATTGTGCCGTAAATGAAAAATATTTCCCGGAAATGTCAGTAATTACACCAACCAGCCGAAGCTATGAGGGGAGGAACTGATAATAGAAACAGAATCATTATTTTATTTGTAGCAAACCTGTCCAGTTTGAAAGTATTTCATGACAGAATTTCAACATTTGTCTAAAGTTCGTCATGACAAACTAATGCGCCAAAAACTTAACTAAAGTTGTTGCTCAGATCGCAATTTCCTCCAAGAGAACTGGTACGAGCCACGTGTATACAGTCGAAGAACGTTAAAAGACACTTTCCTTTCAAATAACATGCTCCATAACAAAAACAGGTCAAATACAAATTTTGACACGACAGGCTACTTAAAAAGTCTGCTACATTAGCCCTCTGTTTTAGCCTTTTATGTCAAAATCTCTAACTTGGAGAGAAATGTTTGGACCTGTGAACGGGCACCTTGAATGTCCTTCTTGAAGAAACAATAATAATAGCAACAAGAAGTAAAGTTATGGACAACTAATCATTTAGCTGTCATTGGAAACTGAAAAAAAATATCTCATCTTCAGACGTCGAGATCCTTGCGATATTATCAGGCAACTACCACTTATGTTTCTTGCAGGATAAATTGTCAAATTCACTAGTAAAGCTGAATTGTTTTCCAAAAAGTGTTATCTAAAATCCTCGGCTATGTGTTTTGAAAAAACGTCCAAGTGAAATGGTGTTGTAAAACAATGCGTTGATTGAGACTCATATCTGTTGGAACGCTCCAAACGAGTTTCAACTTTCACAACCCAAAGATTTATGTTCAACGAGGAAATAAGGGAAAAACCTTTCTATACAAAACGCTGGGGCTGACCATTTCAGGCGGTGTTCTTCCTCTAGTCCTAACATGGACGAAGAAGGGTAAAGTAACAGACAAAACAACAACAAAGAAAACGACAACCATAACACACCTTTGTTACCCAGCATCGCCCTGGTCAGAAGTCTTTAAGAGCGTGTCCACGAGAGCACCGGGCAGTCGTGCTACATGCCATCTCACCGATTTCAATGAAACTTTGTCAGTTTAAAGGGTCTACCCCAAAACTCAAAAAAACAGACTGGTTTCTGTTTTAGTTTTTTCCGGGGGGAGATAGACCACCACCCGGTTTTTCTTGGTTATCACCAAGGAAATCGCTTCAAATAGGTAAAATGTATGAAGCTCTCACTGCGATGATATTTAACTGATTACTTTGAGGATTTGCACACATATTTTTACATCCTTAGTGAATGGCCGCCACGAGTATCAGTCAGTTTGATCGAAGGCTTGTCAATCAACATAGGCAAATATACGACTGTGTTTTTAGACTTTTCGATTCATCCAAATATTTTACAACTTTGAGGTCAAATATCTCCCGTTGCCAGAAAGCTACAACACTAATCTTAATTACCCTTTATAACCCATCATTTCATCTCTGAAAATCATCAAAAAAATCTTTGGGCACTACCGTATTTTTGTCTTGGATACCTTTTAAAATCTGCGACTGTGACAAGTTTCTCTCAACTACACCTGTCACGCAATTCTTGCTCTAGGGGGTCACTTGACAAAATAAACTTACATTTTTTAGCTCTTTATACAAGATGATTGATCAAGAAAGGTGAAAAATGTGAAAAACTTTCGAGATTTTTTGTAGGAATGGAAAATTTCACGTTTAGAGAGATGCATGTTGACGAAAAATCAATGGGAAAATCGTAGCGTTTCTTTCTTCAGTCGTTTATTACTTTGAAGATTTGCTAAAATCAAGACATAGGGCTCTTGTACAGAACAAAACATTCATTAGCCTATACTTTGATCGTCTATTATCATTATCGCACAGTTTACAATAAGGAAACTGTAACAGGAGAGGAGATTTTAAAGTCGCATGTCGCCTGCTTGTTGACGTACAAGTTTCCGAGTGTAACAACTTCGGCTTTTCCATACCGCGAATGACGGGAAACTCTGCCCCCCTTATTTGTTAGGAAATATCAATAGCCCCATAAATTCATTAACTACGCCATGTTTCCAGAAAATAAGACTGGAAAATGTTTTTTCTACTTTCCACCATCAAGAAATTCCACGTATAGGAATAGTATTTGTAGGGTTACTGCGTGACCTTTCATGAGAAGTAAACATTGTTCATTTTTTTTTTCAAGAAGACACTTCTAGAAAGTTCTTAATCCTTCTGTTATCTTATTTTCCTTTTTTTGACTGCAAATATCATCTGCATTTGCTATTATTTTCGCTGATTGTCATGGCCTTTCCTGCGTGTACGTGCGAACTGGTTCATATACAGGACTCTTTCAAGTTTCTCTGGGTGGTGTCGGGCTTAGGTGTGTAGGTCTGGTTCAAAAGATATCTGCACGATGCAACACGGGTTCCTATGTTTTCTCCTTTTTCTTTATTTTTATTTTCATTCTCTTGCTTGCACTATCACACATTTATGTTTTTTTATTCCCTCAGCGCGTTCCCTCAAATTTGGAAGTAGGCCATGAAAAGTCAATATTGACCAGAACTGAAATCCTTTTCTATCACTATTTGTTTCAGAGAACCCCCGTCATTTGTGACTTTTTTTCTCAAGAAAATGTGTTTTCATTTGCTATTTATTTCCAATAGAACATGAAACTAGGTCCTGATAAGTTTTTTTTGTCTCGTGACTCCCAAAAACTGTGTTTGCGACAACATCAATTAAGAAATCAAAGGCAATTACGCCTGAGAAATTCGCTTGTAGCCTTCTACCCGCAGAAGGCAACTCCATATAATGAAACGTTCTAAGACCTCTTTAAACTAGAGACATTGCGTGATGTTGAGGGGTGAAATATTTACACTAAATCTGTGACCCTCAAACGGATCATGTACTCGTACACGTAACGTCCGGAAAATGTCACGCATGTATAACACTGTAGGCGCACCTGGCGAATTCTATCCACTGGCTTCAATAGCAAAGAGACAACTTATTTACTATTTGTATATGAGTAAACTTATTTACCCTACTTGAAAAAATCCGTGATGAAGTCAACTGTTGTCAGACGAAACGCGAGGGAGATAAATACAAGTTTTTACTTTCTCAGTTCGTGCAGTGATGCTCACTAGTTTGTTCCGTTAAAAACGCTTTTAATGTGAAGTCACGTCGACCTCGACAGAAAAATTAAGCTCACCCTGTCATAACCAATGGTTTGATACCGTAAGTACCAATTTAGGTAAATCATTGGGCTTTGATCACAATGATAAAAAAAAAATGTGCGTTTCCTCACGCTCGCCATTTTACAGGAGGGCGATGTCGCTTACCTTGGCGCGTCTTGACTCTGGCCGACGAACATTATCAGGTTTTGAAAACTTTGTCTACCCTTGATTTGCACGCAGAAAAAAAAGGCAAATTCCGAACGGTATTTCAAAACATTTTATTCATTAGTCAATTTATGAACTGTTTTATAGCAGCCCGAGGAAAAAGCAAAATTGAAACAACCGGCGCATCGGTCAAATGAATTCTAATTTTTTCAACAAGGAGTTGGTAAGTTCATTTTTCCTAGTAAATTTAAGTGGGGGTCATTTTTTTGTGACAGCCGATCAAAGATAGACAGCTCTGAAACGTCTCTGAAACTCTTTTAAAAAAGAGTTTACACTTCCGGTAATATTTTCCTCCTTCTCGCAACAGCGCAACAGACATTGTTAATCCTATGTACTGTAGGTGTATCAGTTGTATTACGTCTTGATAGTGATGCCATATAAGAAATCGAGTGTCTAAAAAGCCCTCAATTCAATCTAACACTCGAATTGATAAAGTAAAGATGGTGAAGTTGTCTTGTTCATTTGCAACTAACTGTAGAACCAAATGTTATTTTTCTCGCGCTGGCCAGGGACGGCAACAGCTCATACCTCTATATTCGTGGGTATACAGGTTAAAGGAAAACATTTGAGAGACGTCGATGTATCCCAAATATGCGTTTCGTCCGAGATGGAGCTTATTCTAGCGCATATTGGCTTATTTGGAGATTACGAAAGCCGCGATTTTACGATGTACCTCAAATATCGTGCACAACTTGGTGTGAGATTCAGACCGTCGGGTTCGTAAATGCCAGTATCCTCCTCATAAAAATCGGGAGAGAGATGAATCTGCGGATGGCAGAAGAAATCAAAGCTGGTGGCGAGTCTTCCTGGTGGCGGCAAGGTGACTGTAAACCTAAATAGAACGCGTACTGTAGCTGCTATCTTAGAGTCGACAATGAATAAGGAAGAAGGGCAAGAAGAGCGCTTATCTGAACATCAGTTTTCCTAACTGGTGATTTGTGACTGAGATGAACTTTATATCATATGATTGCTAGGGATACGCAGGTACTGTAGAGGCGCTCACATAGATAGAGGTGGGCGATCCTCCCTCTGACTTAAGAACTGCGGCAAGTTTATAGCGTAGACTAACTGGCACAGTTTGAAGCACCTCAGGGTCTCACTAGACTCATCACATTAGAAACCTTCAGCAAACTAATCTTAGAAGTGGGTGGTTATCAGCAACTTGCACAGATTTCTGAACGCGGGTCATCGCGAGAACTATACCCAATCCGTCATAGACGGAACAAGAAAGCGAGATATTCTTGCTAAAAGAAGGATGTATCAAGACGTT